ACGTCCTCCCCCAGAATCCCTTCCCCTCCCTGAGGCGTAGTACCAAGTTCTGTAATTGGCTCACTCGCTTCAATCACTTCAATGTCCACCCTGACGACACGAACGCCCCGGTCTCACTGCCTGGAAAGGTGGCGGTCACAAAAACTCAGGTGTTATGTAAGGGGACACTGGGTAATGGAGAGGATAGAGACATGCCCAGAAAGGATGAGTGGCTTCTCGAAGGCTTTGCAAAAGGGTTCACAACTATCTCATCTGTTCTCAGACATTGGGCACCCTCACCTATAGACGAGTTTTAGTGATAAGCATGATAACGTCAAAATCTAGCTGTGATACAGTTATCATGGTCGCTCACTTTACATTTCAAAATTGCATTCTCCATTCGAAATGACTGCACCCTTCAGCACTCAAAGTACCGTATATTTCCGGGACAGCCCCATCCGAACGACCTATCTTCGCGTTAGGTCTTTCACCACCCAAAATCAACAAGCATTGTTTGAGAGCGGCGCCGCGTGCTGCACTACTTTCGCCTGATTATACCAGCTTTATTCGATAAGATATAAGGAAGCTATATTTGATATTTTAGGTCGAGGCTACTGTCCGAACTGATGAGTGAAGCACATCAAATATCAATGGTACAGCAAGCAGACCCTGGATTTCTGCCTCATTCAAAGGTTAAACAACGATAGTGTTACTTTGTTACTTGGAGCGAAATATGAGAGACGGTCAAGCTTAGCGAGGTTCAGTTCACGCTGGGCTGCTGGCTGTTCATTGAAATCGAAAGCTTTCAGAAGGGGGAGGGGGTACGGAGGGCAGGACTTGGATGTCCAGGTAGAGAAAACAGATGCTATACGGTACTCAAAAAAAAGTTGCGGCAGAATCCTTTGAAGGGCCGGGAGGAGTATCGATCAGAGTCAACCGTCGCGTTCGCAAACTTCCAGTAATTTTGCGACCCCCTACTCCTTCAGGAAGGTCTCGATGTGATCCTCAATCACCACCATCCGTTTCAGGACCACCCTCACCTCTTCTCTTATAGCAGTTGATTTTGGAACCAGCCGACACAGCCCAACTCTGCCCATTCTTCTTACGGCCGTTGGGCGTGGGAGGGGGGAGGGAACAACGAATCCAC